ACAAAATGTAAAAAACCTACGAAGAAATAAACTTGTTTTGATCTAACGAATTGTGTTAATGATATGCAGTTCATTTTACACAAATGGCTAGAATACTGAAGTAGTTCATTAAGGTCGGCTGTGTCAGCATGCGTAGGTTGCAAAGGAACAAGTAAAAGGTTATGCCTTCTTCCACACCCAAAATGTTTCCTTTCTTCTTTTCAGCATGGAATAAACCTTTTACTTGTTCCCCGACTAGAATACTGATGGTTGTTGTCTACAGCGACACACAGAAGTATCCCATCGGTACGTGTCAAGTGCCTGGGACATCACAATATTATTAAGAATATTTACTGTCTCACAGGTGGGGCACTGACTAGCCAATCCAAATGACTGAAACCGCATGGAAAGTGAGCTGAATGTAGTGATTGAACTACTGCACAAACCAGAGCATAAAGGCCGTGAACATACACTATGCAAATCGGAAATGATAATGAGGATATGTGAAAGGCTTCAGAAAGTGAAGGGGGCTGAAGAGGACCAAATAAAGGTCTTAAAGCATGTTTCATGGTCTGTGCTGTACAATATGATATTATCATTTTACTAAATTATCCAACTGTTGAATAATCTGTCATTTTGCATTTTGTGGAAGTCTTAAATACGTCTTAGTAATAGCAATAATGGAAATAATAGCGTACGTAAAAGAAAGACACACTTCAACACCTAGAATACTTCCGCACATCGTAGAGGGTAGGAAAAAAATGTTTCCGTTGCGTAGGAACGATTTACCCTGTCTTTCGTTTCCCTGCCGGAATGTGTTGGTTCTAGTACCGTCAGAACAGTTGCATGCTGGGGGTTAGAGATGAATGAAACATAGAAATAAACACTCAAATAGCCAAAAATGTATTAAGTGCTGGAAACAAAAGCAAAACTCGATAATGAACTTATAACAAGTTGAAACAGTGTCCGAATAAGGAGGAAAAATCGACCTTAGAGACTACAACTAGGTAGGTTCTAAATAACCAGGTTCAATGTTTAAGTGGTTTCGATGCTACTGCACACTGAAACTTTGCTTCAGTGAGAGTTTCTTAAAATAATTGTTTATCAGAAATAAAATATTATGTTGACTATAGTAATACTCCAATCGCGGTGGTTACTATAGTATTATGATTTCGACTTTAAGGAAATGTGCTGTAAGGAAAGGAGACCGATAAACACTAATAATAAATGTGTTCAGCGGTGCCATTTCACTCATCTGCCTCAACATGTTGTATTGTATTTTGATTTGTTTTTGTCCTGTAGGCGGATGCTTTATTACATTATTTTTAACAGTCCATATGGATACACCTGCCTGTTGTATGTCGCCTGTGTTAAAACGGTAGATTTTTTTTTTATCGAATAGAAAAATACCACTTTACTGCTTTAATCAGATTATGAGATACAATTATTAAAACACAACCCCTCTATCTTTTTTTCACTGAAATAACAACGGTGGGTACAGCAATAACAAGATAGGGATGAAATAAATTTAGCAAGTTCACCAGACACAAGCGTGTATTTCTGATGCGGAATGCGATGGCTCCTAGTTCAAAATAACACTCTTCAATTCAATTAATTTTTATATGGCGCTTAACAAAGCAAGTGACCATACATGTTGTCAATACAGAACAGAAAAGAAAGTCTTAATCTTGGTTGGTTCCCATAATTTGGTATCTTAAGCTATGCGTGTGCGGCAAAATGCGTTTGAATACCAACTCTTTGTCTCCCTGTGTGTTCAAAGTGCACAGGCTCACCTTGGTTGAGTGGATCTGTCAGCCGGGCGCTGAGGGAGTGCGGAGCCCCGGGCCAGGATGTACGCGGTGTATCGCCAGGCTCACCCCCCGACGGGGATCGAATTCTCCGTGTTCTGCAACTTCTTCTCCTCTGAGGAGAGGAACCTGGTGGTGGCCGGCACCTCTCAGCTCTACGTGTACAGGCTGGTCCATGATGTGGAGGTGAGTGTGCGGAGCAGAGGCGATTTTTTCGTTCTTCCCGAACTGAAATCAGTTCGTAAAAAGACATGTGGAATACCTGTGGGAGAGACATGAGAGTAGGGCTTGAACTGGAGACGCATGAGTGATCATCAGATATATTAATCATTCTGTTGACGGTGGCATCTTTCTTAAGAACAGTAGTAGCCCAAAGATCTGAGAGCCCCATCAGGCTGTGCCTTACAAGAATACTGTGCTGTCAGTCTCAGCATCTGGGCTATAATATTTGTCCCAGACTCCCGTGACTTCCTGCAGAAAGAAGTGTCTCCTATTTCCTGTCCTGAGTGCTCCTGAGCGGGTACACTGTCAACTCTGACATTGGCTTTGAGTGAAATGTCACAGAAAGCAGTGTAGTATAGCCAGTCAGCCTATCAGCATGCCTCAGGGAGGTGGGAGAAAACTCCACACAGGCACCCCAGCCTGGATAGGATCCTGGGACCCCTGTAACCATGTTAACTACTTTGTCACTCTTCTGCTCTCAGATTTGCTTAGCTACAATACTTCATTCATAAGTTGTGTTTATGTTCCAGTGTTGCCCCCCATGTATCCTGGGTTTGAATGTTCCCTACATACTGATATTGGTTTTCCACTCCCTTGATTCCTGTGCTTTGGAGGTTGGGATCATTGTCTCCTTTCGAGAAACAAGTAGTTCTGTGATAATGGATGAATACCTTTTTGTTTTCCTTTGCCTGCAACCACGTAGGAAACCAAGGTTGAGAGAAGTGATTTAACTCATTCGAAAACTGTACATTTTAAACTTATGGATGTATTTGAACAGTGGTCAATCAGTGCGATATTTCCATTTGGTTATTGTGTTCATACTGGTAAAATACAAGTGAATTTTCTTTGAATGTAATGCTCTTGTTTTATATTACAGAGCGCAACCAAGACAGAAAAATCAGCTGGTATGTGCGACTATTTCTTTTTCGTCTGTATTAGCTGCTCTTTTGTTTTAAATGACAATAGCATGTCAAGTTGTCTAAAACTATTCATTTTTTAAATAGTTTTCCTAAATGGAAAAATAATGGCTAGAGTGTACTTTTTCACAAAAGATACTTGCCTACATAACCACCTATCTTCATCTACAAACCAGGAAGACATCTTACATTGTTGACATCTTTCAGTAGTTGTTAGTTTCCGATCTAGACCAGCCTGTGCTTAATGTACATAAGGAGTTCTTACTTTCCCATTTCCAGATGGGAAGAGCCGTAAGGAGAAGTTGGAGCAGGTGGCGGCCTTCTCTGTGTTTGGCAACATCATGTCTATGGCCAGCGTGCAGCTTGTTGGGGCAAAGAGAGACGCTTTGCTGCTGAGCTTCAAGGACGCAAAGGTAGAGCCGATTTTTGTGTGCCCATGGGCCTTTATGTTTGTATACCTGGGACGCCTGTCTGCAAGTAAACTATACAGTAAGGGAGATGAGAAACAGAGCAGAAGTGCTCTCAAAGGGGCCAGTAACCACAGATTCCCTTACTTTTCCATTACAGAATCCTTTGGAAAAATAAGAACATTCAGAAGGACTTGTGCTTAAAAAATAAATAGATTATTTTGGATTTGGCTGAGACATCATCACAGTTTCATCTCCGATGAACAAGAATTGAATAAAATGTAAAAGGAAATTTAAAATGCATTTGTACTGGTGGTGTATATTGCAAAACATTACATTAGCCAGCCTCTGCCCTGAGATGTTTCCGTTGGTTTTGCAGCTGTCGGTCGTGGAATATGACCCTGGGACACATGACCTCAAGACGCTTTCTCTGCATTATTTTGAGGAGCCAGAGCTGAGGGTAAAGTAACTGTTGTGCACAAAGACATACATCTTTTCCTTAAGGTGATACTTCCCCTGTTGTGATACATTCTGGACAGCTTCCCAGTAGTTATTGACATTGTCAGCGATGACATTTTAAGTTGTGTTTCTTTATTTTAAAACAATGTGGAGTGAATGAGCAAAATGCCCTGCCTTTTTTTCAAAATCATCTTTGATTGCATCTTGCCTTTCATGCAGAATAAACAGCACAGATTTCTCAGATTGTGAAATGCACGTTTTGAAGGGTGAGAACTTAGTGTAGTTTTTTTCTGCCTTAGAAAGTGGAAGAGAAGCTGGGTACAAAAAACAACTTGCTTTGGTTTTGTGGACATAGAGAAAAATCCCCTAGTGTTGATGTAATTGATTGTTTTGTACAGGACGGATTTGTGCAGAATGTCCATATACCCATTGTCCGTGTTGACCCGGAGAACCGCTGTGCTGTGATGCTGATCTATGGTACCAGGCTGGTAGTGCTGCCATTCAGAAAGGACACTCTGACGGATGAACAAGAAGGCATTGTGGGAGAAGGGTATGTTGACGTGAGTGCTTAAAGAACACTCAGCTCAAGTGCATCTCATATTTGGGTCTGCTCAAAGAGCGAAGAGACTGCTCCTGAAAGTAATCTTTACAATAAATCAGTTCATGGTGCTCTTTCACATCACTTGAAAATCTGGGTCGCCAAAGTTTTGTCAAAGCCAATTTAATTGTTTCTTATGTTAAAATGTAACTTATAAATTTTATATGTGACTTGGAATTTTTGTTTGCTATAGTTAGTACATTTTGTGAATGCTAAGTAAATGGTTTTGTTCTTGACTGTAACTTCAGCACGAGTTGACGCAGAAAACCCTGGTGTCCTGCACACAAACATTTACATGCCCCCTGAACAAACTGAAGACGTACTTTGTTTTCCCTTGTAGGCAAAAGTCCAGTTTTCTCCCCAGTTATATAATTGATGTGCGTGAACTGGATGAGAAACTGCTGAACATTATTGACATGAAGTTTCTCCATGGATACTATGAACCCACTCTCCTGATACTGTATGAGCCCAACCAGACATGGCCAGGGTGAGTGCTCATTAACACTGGAAAGAAAAAAAGAAACTTACAACCAGAGACAATCCGACCCTTTTATATGTCACCTTCATGTTGTCTAACTTTTTATTTTGCTATGTATTTAAATTGTTGTCTTTGTTTTTAGACCAATCAACATGTTTCTTGGTAGGAGGATATTACTTACAGTATATATTTTGACTCAAGCTGGAAAAAAAAGATCCTTATCTATTAGGGTATTCATTTGTGTTGCTGACAATAATGTAGTCCCCTAAAAAAAATAAAAACACTTTTGTAAATACAGTAAAAATATTCAAACTAAAAAGCCAATGGTGTGTATGTATTTATTTTTGGATAAAGGCAAGTGTGTATATTAAAGACTGAAAGAAATGTCTACCTGCTATGGAGGGTTTAGTCAGTAGGTTAGAGGTTTATAGGCCTGCCCTGCTGGAGGGGATTAAATAGTGCCCTGCTATAGTTTCATGGAAGTCAGATGGCTAATAGCTTTGTCTTCTTCCCTGGCAGACGTGTAGCAGTGCGACAGGACACCTGCAGCATTGTGGCCATCTCTCTGAACATCATGCAGAAGGTTCATCCAGTTATCTGGTCGCTCTCCAACCTGCCCTTTGACTGTACACAAGTCATGGCTGTGCCCAAGCCTATAGGTACGTCACAGTTTGTGCCCTGAGTAGACAGGATCTCAAGGGAAGGTGCATGATGCTGCTGAACACACTGAAGTCAAGACTATAAAAAGGAAATGATGTTATATTTAGCTCTTAATATACTACTTATGATATTTTATGCAAGCAGCCTTATTGCTGTTGGTTATGGGGGTAGAATGTATGATTAAAGTACGTCATAGGTTATGTATTAGAGGCACAATGTTCTTTTTTGTAGCTTCACACCATGATGGTGAATTAACATGCTTTCAGTGAAGTCTGACACTTCCTCTATGGCATTTGTAGAAGAAAATAAATGTTATCTTGAATGCTACGTTGAAACATAAAAACATGGGTAACTAAACTGCTTTTAGTTTTGAGAAATAAAGACTGGGTGAATGTTTTCAGCTGTAGTGTACCACGGGGAATGTCTTCTGTTTCCAGGTGGAGTTGTGGTGTTTGCCGTGAACTCCCTGCTCTACTTGAATCAAAGTGTCCCTCCTTATGGAGTTTCTCTCAACAGCCAGACAAATGGGACAACAGCTTTCCCGCTGCGTAAGTAAAAAAAAC